GACACAGTGGAACAGTAAAACAAACGTAAAGGTGACTACTGACAAAGTGGAGTCGTAAAACAAAAGTAAAGGTGACTACTGACACAGTGGAGTCGTAAAACAAACGTAAAGGTGACTACTGACACAGAGGAGTCGTAAAACAAACGTAAAGGTGACTACTGACACAGTGGAACAGTAAAACAAACGTAAAGGTGACTACTGACACAGTGGAACAGTAAATCAAACGTAAAGGTGACTACTGACACAGTGGAGCCGTAAAACAAAAAAAGGTGACTACTGACACAGTGGAAAGTGAAACAAACGTAAAGGTGACTACTGACACAGTGGAACAGTAAAACAAACGTAAAGGTGACTACAAACGTGACACAGTGGAACAGTAAAACAAACGTAAAGGTGACTACTGACACAGTGGAACAGTAAAACAAACGTAAAGGTGACTACTGACACAGTGGAACAGTAAAACAAACGTAAAGGTGACTACTGACACAGTGGAACAGTAAAACAAACGTAAAGGTGACTACTGACACAGTGGAACAGTAAAACAAAAGTAAAGGTGACTACTGACACAGTGGAGTCGTAAAACAAACGTAAAGGTGACTACTGACACAGAGGAGCCGTAAAACAAACGTAAAGGTGACTACTGACACAGTGGAGTCGTAAAACAAACGTAAAGGTGACTACTGACACAGTGGAACAGTAAAACAAACGTAAAGGTGACTACTGACACAGTGGAACAGTAAAACAAAAGTAAAGGTGACTACTGACACAGTGGAACAGTAAAACAAAAGTAAAGGTGACTACTGACACAGTGGAGTCGTAAAACAAACGTAAAGGTGACTACTGACACAGTGGAACAGTAAAACAAACGTAAAGGTGACTACTGACACAGTAGAAAACAAAAATAAAGGTGACTACTGACACAGTGGAGTGAAAGGTGACTACTGACACAGTAAAACAAACGTAGTGGAACAGTAAAACAAACGTGACTACTGACACAGTGGAACAGTAAAACAAACACAGTAAAGGTGACTACTGACACAGTGGAACAGTAAAACAAACGTAAAGGTGACTACTGACACAGTGGAAATACGTAAAGGTGACTACTGACACAGTGGAGTCGTAAAACAAAAGTGCAGGTGACTACTGACACAGTGGAGCCGTAAAACAAACGGAATGCAACTTCTAACACAGAGGACTCGTAAAAAAACAAACGGTCTACTTCCTTGGAATCATCTGCAATATGTAAACACCACGTGCTGGTGATGCAGTAATGTTGCTACCCATAAAAGGTTGTGTATTCATTATAAGGAAATTGAATTACATACACCTTGCTGGAAATCTGTCGTAGTAGAAATATCTGTCGTGTCCTAGATTTCCAGTTTTGGTCGGTAAATACGATGGGTCAATGGTAAATATAATTCTTTTTATTTAAAGACAGGGCATCATCAATATATTTCAAAGTGAAACTGAAGGATTTTATAAAGTCTTTGTAACCTGTTTGACACGTTCTTCAATAAATTTAGCTTCGTATGGAAAAGAAATCAAGTCAGGCAAAAGAGGGTCAGAGTTTGTTCCCAGAAATATACCAAAAATCTGTTTGATGATCCTACCACCAAACTCCGGGAAATACGTCTCACAACAAATAACGATATATGTAATACCACCCCCCCCCACACACACACATCCCCATCACCTTAATATACATGTGACTCTCTGTAGGAAGACCGGTTAACCCTTTTCTACGCATTTACATTTCTTGTCTGTCAACATTGGCTAATAACGACACAATGATAATCTAGACATATAGCTAGCTGATATTTGTACCGGTTAGACACTGATGTCAAGTTTTAAACTAGCGGTACGGACTGAGTCCATGTCAGGGTCATAACATGTCTGTGAACTGACTCCAAAAACCACCATTAAGCGGTGATATCATCTATGGACATAAGCGGTCTTCAATGAACTTAGATTTTGTGAGGGGTAAAACGTCCCAAACAAACGGCTTGGATTACCTCGGTTACATTCGGTGTAGACAGTTCGGAAACCTTCGTGATAATCCGACGTGTTGAAACCTGAGATCAGTGTTTTTGCCAAGCCCCGCTCGGGAATACAACGGAAAATATAATCACCATGTGAAGCATGCAAGAAAGATATGTCTTTACCATCGTCAGGATAACTCACATAGATGCGATTTTTTTTTTTTTTTTTTAAATATTTGAAATATTTGGATATTTGAAAATATTGCAAACAAGAGAATGACGCCATCACACAGATACTCAAATTGCCACCATCCGCAGCAGTCCATTTTCATTTTCCAATGACTTTCACTGAAAAAGCCTAGATCCTTTGTTTTGTTAAGGAGATGCATTGGTAGACAGAGAAACCATATACATATTATACATCTGGTTTATTCTGGTTTAATTATCTTTTTTGACATACTGGTTTCGTATAATCTATAGCATTTCTGTGTATGTCTCTAAATATTTTTGTACATGTATTATTTTTCATACTTTATTCTCTATACTTTTTTTCTTAATCAATATTTATGTTTGTCCTTCGTAAAATTAAACAACTTGGAGTTGTTTAGTGTGATATATACCTGAATGTTAAGTATCTTGCTAAACATTCAACATCTATTCTCTGTTTTCCCCATCTACCTAACCAAAGGAATAGATAGTCTACTAGCCTTGATAACACAATTCACATTTAACACAAATGATTGGACACAAAAATAGCATGATAAATTTCACTTTGAAAAATCCTTTAACAAGTTAAACATGATATTAGTTTAGAACAAAATTATCAGAAAGGCACATTCTAGAACGTTAAGTATTGCATGAACTCTTAAATTTGAAATAATATCCCTTCAAGAACGTTTGAATGTTGAGTGCTTGTCTCTTTGTTTATATTTGAACTTCATCTGATGAATTTATTCAACCGTTTAAAATGAATCAGTATGGGTCTTTGATCTAATACATTTTATACATGTTTTTGACGCACAGCTAAGTGCCTCCTTCAACAACATAATTGTCAAGGTGAAAATCCATAATCCGTTTCATCCTGCATCTGGCGCCATCATTGTTGAAATACACCTGCCACATACATTATTACTATATTCGACAGTGATGAAAAACAGATGTATTTTAGCAGCATGTGCGTTAATTCAGCAGAATTACTTTATGAAATTACCTGAAAATTACGTTTAGCAATAAAAACAATTGCTGAATTTTTGCTTTTCTCCACCTTCGCCAAAATATACCTTATATCTTAAGACACTGACCACGTATTCTCTATAATGTTAGGATAGAAAATGGACCATTTTCCAACTTGATGCTAGGGCAGAGAAAATATTTATCATCGGGGGAATATTTCAGTATCGGTCCGTGAAGCCGGGAAAAGATATGTTAACTTTGGAAAAATAAAGAATTGTTAGTCACATACTCCTTCACTTTGATCAAATTTCTTCTCTACCAGGAAAGTGTCGATAAACAGTCCGAAACCATCTCAGGCGAAACTAATGAAAAATATTTACCTGACAAACTATTATCTGATGATATATACAAATAAATATTGTTATCACAATTCACACTTTACGAATTATCTTCCCTTTACTTGTTACAATTCATAAAGAGATAACAGAGGGACAGCTGTTGCTATTTAATGACTTTATGGTTCTGAGGTTGATAGTGTCTCTTCTTTACGCTAAAATATCTACTGGTTGCCATCTTGAAATGCAAAGCATGGTTTACATATGACTACACATCTAGGACAAACAAGACATTTCTTTATGTCCAAGTTTCAAAAGATCATTCCTGTAGTTTGTTAAAAATGCAAATGAAATCGAATGTCGAATCCCAAAATTAAAGCTGGCTGTCATATTTAATATCCAAGTACGGCATGTACAACTGGAAAACATATTTCACGTCTTAATGAAGTAAGTATTAAAAACATTAATTCAGATAATTAATTGCAATTTGCTGTTTGTTTGCATTCGATTTTTTTTATCTTCTCCTACTTGTTATATATAACGTGTATCACTATTTTTGGGTTTAGTTCATATACATTAAAACAAAATCAACAGACTGACTTTTAAAATCCTTGGAGAACTGAAATAAAAAAATTGAATCGGTCCATTACTGTTCAGATTTTAAATAAATAGATCTGTATTCAATACTTCCGAACTCGTTTGCATATAATTGTTTATTCTGCTTTATAAAGGACAAATTAAAAGCTGCACAATCACTTTATACACAATATCTCTTCCGTATGTCAATGTTTAAATACATCACTGTAATACTTTATACTGCCAACTATAATGTGTGCGCTTTGTTTAGAATTTAGAGTACGCCACATAAGGAAAGGATGTGTTCAACTCTCAGATAATCACATTAAATCGAAGCGCTTCATAAGTGACGTAATAACGACCTTAATCACGGATAATGTGGGCGTACTGATGTAATTAAATACCAATACGATATAATTTGATATATAGTTAAAAGAAAACAATAAAGTTCTTAATATGGTCTGTTGTTAAACAGTTTACTGAGTAAAATTACCGATTTATAATCCACTGTGGTTTACTCTCGGTAGGACACTGAAATAACTCAAACAAACGATAATGGAAAAGTATATTTTAATATGTTGTTTCATACTCTATATTTAACAAAAGCTGTTTAGTGAAGATGTTTCCGATCAGCAGAAAAAAATGTCTCTTTTGTTCACTTTGAAGTTATGATCCTTTGAAGTACCAGGTACCCACATAGTACGTCATTTCCCCTCATTTTATGGAATGCTTTAAATAAACGCATGCTTCATCCTCTGCACTGATGTTCACATATTACATGGATTCTGATCTGATGAGTGCTCAGTTAGATTAAGTGGGGAATGGTTATACCAATAAATAATATATAAATGAATTTACAAAGACAGTTATTTAATCGGACGCTTATCATGTTAGTTGAAACATAACGTGATTTCCCCGAACATTGCTGACAGCTAGGTTAACGTCCGCGGAGAGCATGGAATCCATAGTTCCTCTTGTCCATCAAATTCTGTTCATCTGAAATTTACAAAAGAAAAAAACTTGGTCAATTATTTACAATGTGGAACATTGAGGTTAAAAATAATTTTATTTTCTTCATATCAGGATCTTAAAATTGAAAAAAAAAAAACACTTCCGAAGATTTAATTATCGTAATACGTAGTTCTTAAATTCATATTAAAATTGCGATCTAATGTACTCCGAAACAGAATAGGAGGCACAATGATTATGTTTTTACAGTGTTAGTGGTTCTTTGCTTGCAATTCTTTTCGTAACGCTCATGCACATACGGAAACGGCAAAAGAAAAAAAATATATGTTAAAAGGCTTACGAGACCATTGCAGAAAGGGACAGAAAGAGAGTGACATGTAGTTAAATACAAATCCAGTATTCGTAAATAAATATAAAATCAAGAGGGAAGACATTCTTTTTTAAAACACAACATCGGCTGAAACAATTGGAATTGTACCAAACGACGCTTTTATTACAAACATAAAGAAAATAAGCCACGTTAATATGGGGGCAGTTCCTTAATTTGTAATTCAGTCAATCAAATTATCATACAAAATGATTTCATCCATTCCACACATATAAACATGTAAAAATGACTGACAGAGACTAAACAATTTGCTGCAACTGCCTTTCATCAAGAATATTTGTACAAGTGAAAAACGTTTGATGAAATTAGAACAGGACTATTAATTCTAACATATGAATACTTATAAGTATTTATTTTTCTGTTCGCGTCTTCCAATAGTCAGGACGTCAACTGACTATCTGTTCAATAGCAAATGCTGTACCACAACTTCAGCTAAAAGGTTTCCTTATGACATTAGAGTAATTTTGGTATAAGGATGTTGGAAAACAAACCTTAAAATGAAACTCAGTGCTTTAACGGGAAATTCTGTCGAGAACTTAATGCCAGTTACAAAATTTATTCATCGACCAATTCAGTTAGAGGGACATATACTTTATCTAATATTTCCATTACAATGATACAGCATGAAAGACGGCTTGTTGTTATTTTTCTATGTTGAATAATTATATCAATATCATTTTTATATTTCAGCTTTATTTCTAATTATTTTTAACGCCATGAAAATTGCTTTAGGCATAAATGTTCATAAGAAAGGGTTAAATCAGTTGACGGATTTAAATCCTTGTGGTTTATACAGGTGTACCTCTGGTAAAATACTAGCCGCAATATACCACTTGGCTAGAAAGAACTTCTCTTTAGCTCGATTTGTTGAACGTCAGACTAGTAAGCCAGGGGTCCCGGGCCCGATTCCTAGCGGAGGTATTGAAATAAATAATGACCTCTGTAACGTGGGCGCCCACGTAACAAAGCCACATCTGAATGGATATCAATATACGCGCACTTTTTTTTTTTTTAGATTTCATCAAATATTGGAAAGTTACGGAAAGTATGAGGTTATTGTATCTCCAGGTTTTCAAGTGTTTTATGCCACCTAAACACCGGAAAATTCGACTCCATCTCCATCCCATCCACCCTCTTCGCCCACTTAACAGTCTTGCTCATTGTTCTACCCTTTCTACTCGACCTAAAGATCGTTAATGTGTTCCAAATGCCCGTTAAATGAATTCTACCGATAGTGGTTTCCCTAATTTGTCTGCTTTATTTTGAGATTTTAAGCCCCTGGCATCACTGACGATTCGTATTAATGAGGGTATTGACAAATTATGAATTTGCTCCTCATTTGCATCAAATATTCGACCGAAATAAACAAATTATCTGTTTTTTGTCACTGATTACTTGATTATGTCCCTTTATCAACGCCAATTTCTGAACCGTCTGCCAATTCACATGTTGCCATCACGAAATGTTAACAAGAAAGCGTTGGCTATGTCTGATCGTGTAAACCAGTACACCATTTTGTCCATTCGGTCTGTGTAGGATGATATTGATAAAACGTATCGGTGATGGAATTAAATATCAATACAAGTTCATGTGTCATTATTGTATCTCGTGTTGCGGTCACGTGCGTGAGCACGCGGCGATTACTCTGGTATCGGTTGATTGACGATCATCTATTACACATATTTCGGAGATAAAAGTACAAGTCAACAATGCTGGAAGACGCCCCAGTTAAGGATTGGCGGGAAATGCAGAACTGTATCTTATGTTATTAACTAGTAAAATGTCAAGCACATGTTTCGTGACATTATCTTGTTATCAGATAATTAAACTATCACGCAATGAGTAGATAAATTTAATTTACTACGTTTGCACTGGAAATAAAAGCAGGTTGTAAAGATACGGACTAATTAATTATCTTGATGAGGTGACAATGACGGATGCCTATGAAAGAAACATTAAACAGCTTGTGCACTAAAGAGATACAGATTCTAAATACCACCAGTAAAATATCTTTGTCATCATTCAGTGGTTTTTTTAATGAACGAATTTTAACTATATATAACATCCTCGTTAACTTAAAAGATGCAGATATTGCTGTTGATAAATCCAGAATTATTTACACTTTTTTCAGATACCTTAGTTAAGACATGTGTCGCTGTCACAACTGCAAAATGTTATGATTGATTAACTAAAGTAAATTAGATGTAGGAGTATGAAGTGCTCTGAGACGAACTTACATATACCCATTGTACAAATTACACGAGTGTAACACGAAATGAAAATGATTATCTTTGTTCTTAAGTTGAGCACAAAACCACATATTCCACATTATGCATTTTGGAAAAGAAGCATTTTCTGCAAGAGTTCAACGATGCTTTGATGTCATAAGTTTTTTCAATATAGGAAATAGTTTTCCGATGTTGCAACTGTTCAACAGATACTGTTATGATTTTACATATTTAAATGACAGTCTTCTGATGTTGCTAATTGTATCTATTCTTCTAATATGTTGATAATACTTCAAGTGTGCTATTGATTTCCTTAATATTCACTTATTCTTAATCTTAACAACTCTACTTATTCAATTGTTTAATTAGCAATTCTGCTGATGTTTTACCGATTCAACATGTAGCTTAACAACTCTGTTCTTGTTTCATTTATTCAATTGTTTAATTAGCACATTCTGTTCTTGTTTTATTTATTCAATTGGTTTTACCGATTCAACAGGTAGCTTAACAACTCTGTTCTTGTTTTATTGATTCAATTGACAACTTAACAATTCTGCTGATATTTTACCGATTCAACAGGTAGCTTAACAACTCTGTTCTTGTTTTATTTATTCAATTGACAACTTAACAATTCTGCTGATGTTTTACCGATTCAACAGGTAGCTTAACAACTCTGTTCTTGTTTCATTTATTCAATTGACAACTTAACAATTCTGCTGATATTTTACCGATTCAACAGGTAGATCTGTTCTTGTTTCATTTATTCAATTGATAACTTAACAATTCTGCTGATGTTTTACCGATTCAACAGGTAGCTTAACAACTCTGTTCTTGTTTTATTTATTCAATTGGTAACTTGACAATTCTGCTGATGTTTTACCGATTCAACAGGTAGCTCAACAACTCTGCTGTTGTTTTATTTATTCAATTGATAACTTAACAATTCTGCTGATATTTTACCGATTCAACAGGTAGCTTAACAACTCTGTTCTTGTTTTATTTATTCAATTGACAACTTAACAATTCTGCTGATGTTTTACCGATTCAACAGGTAGCTTAACAACTCTGTTCTTGTTTCATTTATTCAATTGACAACTTAACAATTCTGCTGATATTTTACCGATTCAACAGGTAGCTTAACAACTCTGTTCTTGTTTCATTTATTCAATTGATAACTTAACAATTCTGCTGATGTTTTACCGATTCAACAGGTAGCTTAACAACTCTGTTCTTGTTTTATTTATTCAATTGATAACTTAACAATTCTGCTAATGTCTTACCGATTCAACAGGTAGCTCAACAACTCTGCTGTTGTTTTATTTATTCAATTGATAACTTAACAATTCTGCTGATGTTTTACCGATTCAACAGATAGCTTAACACCTATCTTATATCGAAGAAAAGCTAGCTATGAAAAATGCTTAAACAATGAAGTTTCCATATATAACCAATAACGTCAAAAACATGAGCCAATCTTATTTTCATTTGTTTACCATCACGTCAATAAGATGATCTATTTTTAGTTTAGCAGACAATACGAAAAAGTCATTCATTGTGATCATGGTTTGTTTGTAGTAAAACGTCAGTACTAAAGCAAAGGCATTGTCTATTAAGTCCAATTAAAGAAATGTACATATGTTGCTGTTTAAAGTATCAAAATTGATTTTTGGGATTAAAATCAAATTAGAAGAAAAACACATTCTATTTATGATATATACTATATCTGAACTGTACTTGTAGGAGTATTAGAGACAGCTTGTTGCTGATTATAAATCTGCCGATAAATAACTATTATCTTATCGTCTATTCTTTTTGGAATTGTTTATAGAAGAAATCATGCATGTAATGATAAGAAACATTTTGACGTAAAGGCCTGTAAAAACTCTATACTATAATATGCATCTGTTGCACATAATCTATCACCAATATAGCAAATGTATTGGAAGGTTTCAGTAATAAAATTAGTATAGAATATATTTAATTTATAGATATCTCTAATAATCAACACATGTAATTAAGATTTTTTTCGGTCGTTAGTTCATTCGTTCGTATAGTATATCGTTAGCCCTTATGGTAGGTCATTCTTTAATGGATTGAATGAAGTGATACAAATGTAAAGCAATGTTACACTGCAGTGAAATATTTTGTTAGCAGCATTATTAAACATCATGAATCGGTCTAAAGACAGACACAATATATTTCAAAAGATAGAACATATTCAATATAACCTGTAACGTGTACTGACAAGAGTACTTAGATGGAATATTTGATTGGTGTATTTGTAATGGTAAAAACGAATAAACGATATGTTAATGAATTTCAAGATTTGTTTTTCAAAAACACAAATGTGATATTCTTGTAAATAATTCTTGTAAAGAAATTCTTATAAATTTGATAGTTATGACTCATAT